CCCCCCCCTCTCTCTCCATTTGAAGTTTCAAGCTCTCTTAAAGAAAAGTCCAAAACCCTAATACATAGTAACAAAAATAGTTAAAAAATAGAATTAGAAGCATAATAATTAGGAATATATAAAAAAAAGGTGATAATAAATAAATTATAAGTAAATGAAGGAAAGAGGAAAGGGGCCGTGCGCGGGGTGTAAGCTGCTGCGGAGGAAATGTGTGAAGGATTGCATATTCGCACCGTATTTTCCGGCAGAAGAATCTCAAAAGTTCTTGACTGTCCACAAGATCTTTGGTGCAAGCAATGTCACTAAGATGTTGCAGGTTCATCTCTTTCTTCTTTCATTTATTTTATGTAATTATATGTGTAAATCCTATATCGAAATCGAGTCCTTTTATTTTTTTTAACAAAAAAAAAAATTACACGTTACAAAATAATTATTTTTAAAAAATCGTATTTTAGTCATTTTTCATTTTTAATAGATAATTTTAACTCTTTTTTTTATTTATAACAAATTTATATGCTATTGAATTTTAGACAGAATTTAGCGTCCAATATATATATATATAATTTATATATATCCGTTCATATTATATTTTTAACCGAAAGTTTGTCCTCCAACTTACTCAAAACAACAATAACAATGAAAATAACATATTAAACAGAGTATATATATCTATTTTTTTTTAACAAATCTAGAGACAAAAAAATATTAAACAAGTTGAATCCTCTTTTATATAATTTGTTCTTTTTTCACGAATTGAAAACTATTTACTACTGTTTCCATGTTAAAAGAATTTTTTTACGTTCTTTTTGTTTGACATATCATGTGATTTACCATTGATATATGAACCATAGAGCAACTATCTAAAAATTTTAATTCCATATGTGTAAATTAGTCCATTTATATATATTACCGTTTTTTGTGATACAAATATTAAAATAAAAAATAAAAAATGATATAGCATAAAGTATCGAAACCGCGTATGAGAATAGTGTGCAGAAGTCGCTCTCTGTAAAAAGTCTATATTGCATGTTACATTTGAATCGACACGAATAATTTTTCCAAGCCCCTAAGCAAACCAATCACGTTACAATTAACATTGCATAATAATATAAAAATATATAATTGTAATTATATCTTTTTGTATCCGTTGGAAATGAAAGCTTTGAGTGACGAAAAGAATCACCAACGATGATTTTTTTTCATTTTTAAAGAGTAATAAAATTAAAATACTCGGTTGGAAATGGATTTTTTTTTAAATAATCATTAAAACTAAAGGATTATTACATTATTATTATACGTGAAAGAGAATCTCTCATAAAGACAAATCAAAGTGAATCGTCAATTGCACATATGTTTTTGTTTTTGCTAACATAAAGCTATAACCCGACAGAGACAAAAAATCATATTTTAATAAAACAATAAAAAAAAATACAATCAAATGCGTCAGGCGAATAAACATTATTATAATGTTTTGTCATTTTTCTTTATTCAATTTCATTTATTTATTGGTTTATTTCTAATCAAATTATTACCATAGTTATTACATAATGCTAACCTCATGCTGACTCTAATTTATACTATTCGTGAGTGTGTCTGTATACATCTTTCATTCAATTTTATCTTCGGCCCAATCAAATAATCAAATAAAATGTAAACATTAAATTTGGAAGTTAACATTTCTTCAAATTTGTTGGCGTATCTGTCTACTTGGTTTTTTAAAATGATTTTTAGATATATCGTTCGAAATACAATAAAATAAACGAAATATGATATTTTCCTCATTAAAAATGTCGAAAATCATATAAATAAAGAATCTTAATTAAACTCATCGGTAAAACCCAACTGAAAGACTTTTTTTTCCAATGAAAAGATTACTTCATGTAAAACAATATTAAATTCAAATTTTGATATTCTCTCGTATCTCAAGAAAAATACTTACTATTAATACAAAAAATAATAATATGCAAGTATTATACATATTGTATATAATTACAACGGCGCGCACGGCGCAGGAGCTGCCGGAGAGCCAGAGGACCGACGCCGTGAGCGCGATGGCGTACGAGGCCAACGCCAGGGTGCGGGACCCAGTCTACGGCTGTGTAGGGGCAATTTCGTCATTACAGTCACAGGTCGACTCTCTTCAGGCTCAGCTCGCTCTCGCTCAGGCCGAGCTCCTCCAATTCCGCCTCCTCCATCATCACCGTCCTCCTCCGCCTTCCTCCGTCGCCGCCGTCAATTCTCCGACGTCCAAACACTTATCCGCCGTCAATTTGTCTTGCGACGGCGGCGCCGGTGACTCCCTCTGGTCATACTAGCATCATTAGCTTTTTCTTTTTCGTTTTCCTTTTTTTTTTGTCTCCCCTTATTATGTAATTATAATTATAATTATATTAGAGCCGTAGCAATTGCCATTAGGGAGTTAACCTATGTTTGTATCACATTTTTCTCTCCGAAAACAGTTGTGTATAAAAGTGTGTATATATATATATATATATATTACATACAGATATTGATATGTAGAAAACACCGAAATTTTCTTGTAAGACCATCGAAAACATATTTTTTTAGATAGATGAAAAAATATAAATACAATTAGGCTGAGGTTAAGTGAATTTCCGAATCATAAAAAAATGTAATATTGGTTTGATACATTTGATCAAATTAGAATACGTGTCCGAATACATCGATTTGGTCTAATTTAATTCGATTTAATTTGATTATTTCTTGTTTGATTTGACCGAATACCATAATTGGAAATTTGTTTAAATTCTTTTGATTTGCCAGTGCGATATCAAATACTTTTTAAACCAACCGGTTCACTATAAATGTTTCCACCAATTTCATAGTATACCAAACCGGTTCAATTTGTGGAATCTAGAAACAGAGCAGTCGTATAAATTTTTTAAATGTTTCATAGGGTAATTGAATTCGGAATTGCAATAAATAACGCTTATGGTTACAAGTTGCAACCACCAAAGTCACATCCATGTAGTTGGCTGGTGGCAACAGACATTCGTATAAATACATGTGATTTTGCATTTATACGTGTCGTATTCGATTCCTATATCAATGTATGAAGACGGTACCGGTTTTCTCCTTTGAATTCATTATTAAACCGGTTTAACCGGACCCACGTGTCAGATTCTTTTGAGATATGTAGTCCATTGGTCTTACAAGTCAATCTTCTCCCACGTCTCCTGCATCACCCCGGTTCAACATCCAAACCGAAATCAATCATTGATCCAACCGGTTTAACAAGTTTGGTTCTGATCAGAGATCCGCCGGTTTTGGCCGGATTGTACGTGGCTCTAACTGGTTCTTGACTAATCTCAAGAAACCCATCAGACCTTGGGAAACAGGTACCAGATCGCAATTAAAATGATTTAAACCGGTCAACCCCGTCTACCGGTTTAATACGGTTTTGGGGTACGTAACTACAGGTCTCTCTGTGCATTTATTAAGCTGCATACGCTCGGTGTAGCATATTTGAGCGCGTGTCTATAGATACACCCATACGTACACGTATAACACTCAGCAATTTGACACATATATAAACACATCACGGTACAAATGGCATCACATCCCTCGATCAAATCGACCAGAGTAACAAGGAAAAGAGAGATGTACTGTCTTCAAGTTGCGGCGTATCACTTGTTCTTCAACGCAGCTCGAGTGGCTTACGTTCTTGCCCTCGCGATCTTTGTCTCTTTCAGCTTCATCATGATGTTCCAAGCCGCCGGAGTTTCCGTTCCGGCGTCGTTCCGGAGATTGGACGGCGAAGGTTTCTATCTCTTTAGGGTTTACGAAGATACCCAACAAGTTCATGGAGATTTAAATGGATCTTTCCATGGAGTTTTACTGATATCGCCTGTGCTTTGATTTGCCATCTTACAAGACATGGATCTTTCGTAGTTGTCTCCCTGTTCTCGGATAATACGGCGTTCCTCGTTTGCAAGAAACCTTTTGGTTTCTAGAAATTTTTTTGTGAATAAATTGGTGTATAATATTTATATTGTACATATATATATATATATATATATGTGTAATATGTGTATGTGTATGTGTATAGTTTGGAATCTACTATGAGCTCGTTTAATTTGGAGGATATCATGCGTGTGACAAATCACAAATCTATATAGTATAACGATAGGATAACTTTTAGTGGCACTGTTTTGGGTTTTGAGACATTCATTAATAAATAAATAAGTAAATAAGTGGTTTTGAACATATTGGGGAAAAAAATAAAAACCTTTTATGAATTTGGACTTTAATATTTTTATAAAAAAATAGTTTTAAAAATGTCCAATCATGGTCTGAACGAAGAAGCCTTTACATATACTTGGACACGTACTTATACATTTATATATAGTAATTTAAATATTTTTCAAAAATGGAGCCAATCATTCACAAACCATCACAACATCTGAATTTTCAATTTCCCATTTCGGTTTTGATGTTCATATATATATATATATATATGTACGTATATATACATACTATCGAGGAACTATTGATGCATGCATACGATTCGGTTTAGGGTATTTTCGTCAAATAAATACATCATTAAATATAAATATAATGTTAAATAACAATATTGATATTCTAAATGATTTTGGGCTTTTATTACTCAAGAGAACTTTTATATTGTATACGAAATATTTCTCAGCGGTCCAATATGCTCCGATTCCAAGAGCCCAAAATGCTACAAGAGTGTTGTATTGTATGCTCCCAAGTAGGGATCTCAAACGAGCTAGCTCGAACCGCTTCGGACCAACTCGTTTCGAGCCAGTTCATTTTCAGCCCAATTCGTTAAACCCGTTTTTATTTGGGCCAGAAAATTTTGAATTCAACCAAGTCGCTTAGCTCAAGAGTCGGCTCCCGAACCCGTTCATATTTTTCAAAATACCTAAAAAAATCATATTAAATTATATAAAATCATATCCAAATGATACATCAACATAAAAAGAATATACCAATATATCCAAATCATACTTATATTCCATATAAAAAAAATCATCTTCAAATAGATAAAATCACAATCCATCCGTGTACAAAAAACCATTTTCATATCATAATTCATCCATGTACAATTAGATCATAATCTATGTACAAAAAACCATATTCAGATCTGAATCTATACATAAAAAATTATCTCCAAATCAAAATATCATACCAACAATATCAACACTTTCAAGTTTCAACGTAAGAATTTTTTTTTACTCGAACTCCCAAGCCAGTTCGCGAGCCAACCGAGCTAGCTTGTTTGGGCTCGGTTCGTGGCGAGCTGGTTCACTCATCCCTTTTTTATTCGAGTTCAGTTATTCTTGGCTCGACTCAGTAAAAAAGGAGACAACCTCGAGGCGGCTCGCGAACTCGGCTCATTTTGACATCCATACTCCCAAGTATCTGTGTTTATGTTTGGGGAAGGATATTTGTATCGATTTTGATTAGCATTTTGTTTTTGAACCTATTTATTGTTTGAATTATATTTGACATTTGTTTTCGTTAAATAAAATATTTATGTTTAAAAAATCGTTTTTCAGATTTTCTAATTATTTTTATATTGAACTAATCGTGTTTAAAACTTGTCATGCATATGTATATCATTAAATCAAATTCGATTTTAAATATACTTTTAAGTTAATATTTTAAATAAATACAAAACAAATATTAATTTCATATATACACATATGTACATATTTCTAACGAAACCAAATACTCAACCATTGTGTTATTATGCTCTTTAATAATAAATTTTATAGATTTATATATATATATATATATATGGATGTATAATTCAGTTTGGTTGATGGGTGTAGTAGACACGTGTTCAAAACGTGCTGGGGTTGCATTTGGAATTAGATCAATTCAAACTTCAAAGAAGTACAAAGTCCTAACGCAGATGCAAAAGTTAAACACAGTAGCACGTATATGCGTATATATGATCCAGAAAAATTATAATTGAAGGTAGTATTAAATTTCTTATAATTTTTAGAAGTAAATTTAAATTTATTATGGTATCATTTAACAATTTTATTTAAAATTGATAAAAAAAAATTAAAAAAAAAACAAAAGAATGAGGGTATAGGGCCCATTTCTAATGAATCGGCCCATTTCTAATGAATCGGGTCCGCATATATAGTAAAATATAATTGTATATATTTATATATACAGAAACACGTAATATTTTCTATTTACGGGAGATAATCACATGAAAATATCTTATTTTACGTAATATTTTCTTTTAAATTATTATTGTTTTTTTCTTTTTTGGGTTGCTTTAAAAGCACAGACGGGAGACAATGTGCCAAAATACATTAATGAAGAGCTTGACCCATTTATTTTTAGACTTTTCCGGATGAAAAATCATAATTGTCTTTATAAATTGTAAATAATTGCGAGAGCATTAATTAGTATTTAATAAGGTCGCGGTCCAATTTATTGAATTCGTTTCCGTAGACCTGACTTTTTTTTTGTTTACACAATATTTTCACGGAAAAACATGAATACCTGAATATTATTTTATACCTTGGACATCTGTGGTGCAACGCAACCAACATTTTTTTATATTTATTGTTGTGAATTATTGGAATTAATAATTAGCGAAAGATAACACTATATATTTTGCTAAGATTCACGATTTTTTTTGTTTTTTTACTACAATTCTTAAATAACAAAAGGATTGAATTGATTTATTTTTTAAAATAGGACATAATTTACAACGGCATTCATGAATCAAAATGTAGTTGCTAACGTAAAGACGAATGCCAAAACCATATAGTACGCGCGCCATCTGAATTTTTATTTAATCATTCTACGATATATTAATTACTTTGGTCCCATCCCACTTTTGAATTTGATAGTAAAATCAAACTAACCCACCTACTTCTCATTTGATTCAAAGCTACACACACATATATGTGTTATATATATATATATATATGTGTGTGTGTGTGTGGCAATGAAATCCAAACAAAAGGGCGTTAATCTAACAGATCATAGACCTAAACTCATACGTATTCGACGTTAAAACAACAAAGCATGAAGAAATTTTTTCTTATACCATAACCAAAAAAAAACAATTTTTGTAAATAAATCAAACTGTAAATGCAATTTCATGGAACTTAACAAAATTGCAGAAAAAAATAAAATAAAATCATGGAACTCGTTCTCAACAATCACCTGTGAAGCACATTCGGTTTATCTATTGAATTTACAAAATACCCCCTTGCCCATCTATTCACTATTCTCTTTCTTTTACCCCCTGAATTGTCTATCATTTACATTACTAACACAAAAGTTCGAATATTTCAAATTTGGCCCCATAATTCTCAAATCGATATGTTGAGGTCAATCTTAGGCTTCTTTATCTCAGACAAAGGAAGAAAGGAGTTGCACCTCGGACATTTCGGATTATTCTTCATCACCAATACGTACGATAAGCAGTTGGGGCATCCCGCCGCGACCGGAGAAGCAGACTTAGAGTCTGACTCAGACGCAAACGCGATCACGGAACTGTCGTCGCTTTCGGCCGACGGCGATTGGCGTTTCTTGATCATCATTGTCGATTTCTGATCTTTCTCAGCTCTCTCGAGCGCCGATTTCACCTTGTCGAGTGTGCAAACGCTCTGAAAACTCGAAGCCGTCGACAGCGACGAGGACGACGGGACAAGCTTGAGCTGTAGGCTCGTGTCGTTGAAGAGGTCTAGCAAGGGCTGTTTCACCGGAAAGTTGCCGGAGATCGGTGGGAAATTCAAATCCTGAAACTTCGTCGTGGCTGTGTGATTCGACCGGTCCGTGTGAGTCGATGATGATGAGCTCGTGGAATTGCATCGCGTTAGATACACTTTCCCTGACTATTTAAAACAAAACATAAATAAAGAACGAATCGATGAAAATACCTGAGATTGCGATTAGAGACGATGAAATCAACGATTCACTTGAATTTTCAATCGCAGTCTCATATGCCGCAATCTAGACCTCGGATTATCCGGAAATTGCGATTAATATATTTACATCTAAATATCATTGTCGCCGGAATATGAATCGCAAAATTATCGAGGCAATTGTTTAAATTCCGCAAAATTTTCTCTCAGAGATTTTCTCGAGAAACAAACAAGGCCTAAGAAGAAAGAATTACAGAGCAACAAACCTTCAAGTCGAGGCGCTTTTCCCAACCTGTGGGGACTTGTAGGTCAAGGTCGAGCTCCAACGACTGATCGCCGGCGCCGCCGAGAAGATCCCGTGTCATAACCGCTACCGTCGATTTCGCTCCGGCGGAATCGTTCACCACGGCCCCCTCGTCCTTGTATCCGCTCAGAATCCGTACGATAGAGCTGACGTCAGCAGCCATGCTAGAGAGAGAGATTTGAGGGGGAGAGTTACGAGCCGTTTGGCGCACCGTTATTATGTAAAGAAAGTTCTAACATTAGAGCCAAAATGCAAAGGGTGGGAAATTAATGCGGCCATTTATTGTTTTTGTATTTTCCATGAGGGGTTTTAATGAAGATTTCAGTAGATACAGAATCGGTTGGAATTTTCATGGTTTTCAATTTCAAATCAAAGTTTAAAGTTTTAAATACTTTTTTAGTTGTGGGTTTAAATTCATTTTTAAAATTAAAAAAAGTTGTGATTGATGATCTTAAACTCCTGATAAACACATTTTTTTGACATTCTATTTATTGGCTTCAACATTGGTTTTTGAAGATTTTGTGAAACTTTAAAATAATGAAAGTGAAAATCAATAATTCACACTGTTATAAAAACAAATTTGTAAATTTAAAGCTTACATAAAAGAATCCGATTGGGAATTTTTGGAGACCTATATGTGCGAGTTATGATAATAGAAAAAATTAAAACTGAAAATATAATTATATTTGATTGAAATTCAATTTTAAAATAATAAATACATTCCAAATTAATATAAAATAACGATCAAAACAATATATATATGAATTTTGTTTTGAACCCGAATAGGAACCTAATATAAATACTTAATGAACATAAATTTTCTAAGGCTAAAAATTTTAAATTCGAAAGCAACCTTAATCCAAACTATCCAACTACAGCTATTTATTATCTATGCATCGTTTTGTTAGGAATGAATTGAAATATACTCCCTCCATTTCAGATTAGACAACATTTTATAATAATATTTTGTTTCAAAATAAGTGACGTTTTGAGATTTTTCACGTCATTTTTAATGTTTTTTAAATGTATCACTAATTAATAATGTTTAGATATTCTATATATTTAAAAATAACAATCTTATATATAATAAATAAGGATATTTTGGACGAATAATAATAATAATTATTATTAATTTGTATGTTTAAATATCTAAAATGAAATGGAGTATATTTTTGTTATATTTATGGGAAAAAAAGGAAAAGGGTAAGAAAAACAAAATAAATGATGGAAAACAATAATAAATGCCAAGAATTAAATAGCTAGGAAATACAAGTGGACGTATCCAACACAACACTCAGCGCTTTTGTTTTTTCTTAATTACTTTTATAACCCTAATCCTCGTCCTTAATCGGTATTATCACGTGATTTAATTAATTTCATTCGGTTAATTAATTAGGGCCATTAACTGTGTCTTAAATGATATTTAATGCTGTTTCGGGTTCTATGTATTGGTTACGTCAATGTATTTAATGGAGTAGGTATTGGTGGAAGTGTTGTATTTTGAGAGAATGTATATATGTATATATATCATATATGTAATGTTAAAATTAAATATATGGTATTTATGGTTACCTAAATTGTAGCGGATGTCCAATATATATATTCAGAAAAATGTGGGTTTTAATTTTTCCCACTTACAAGAGAAATGCTTCTTTTTATTTTTATATTCTAAATCTTATTGATTCGAAGTTACATTTTTTATTTCCAGTTAAAAATGATATTATTTTATGCATAAAAACCTATGTACCTACATGCTTCAGTTTTTTATACGCCGAATTTAATATTATCTAAATTAAATAATGAGAAGCAACAAATGAAATAGATATAATTGTTACAAGAATCCGAAAAACAAAGAAACTAAAAAAAGTCCTAAATACCCACAGTACTCGTAATTTATGAGAACGACAATTAATAAGAGAAAAAAAAAACATAACTTGTTTATAATGGTAATAGATGAACAATAAAAATTGAAAAATAATTAAATGCAATTCATTTTCCATAAGGAAAAAAAAGGTAGAGTCGTAAAATTAAATATGGAGGTGTGAGAGCATTTAAGGAGAGAACCAGAAGAGGGTTGAAAAATAGGTTGAAGAAGAAGCGATAATAGCTGACGATATTTGTAGGACACCCAATCCAACATTCATAGCTTTTAACATTCACAAACCGACATATATGAAAACCACATATATATATATATATATACACACATATTCTTCCTAACAATTTTTTTGTTTAAAAAATCCATGCGAAAAGAATATAGAAAAATCTGTCTGAATCTGGCCATATGTCCAAATGTCGGCAACGGCTACTTCCCGTTCGGTCGAGAATCAGGGTGGCGGGCGGGCGGTATCCGACTTTTTTTTTCAAAACATCCAACCTGCGAAAGTTTCCAAAATCCCGTAGAATTACGGGGTATTTGGTAATTTTACACAGAAATATGTATAAATATTATTGTGAACACACGAGTAGGATATAGACTTGATTTTACTTCTATACAACTTCCGTAATAATCCATCATGATGAGAAAAAAATCCATCCCAAATTTTACACAGGATTTCTCTGATTCCGAACAAATAATATAACTAAATTCTCTGAACACACATATAACAAATTCCCCATATTTTTTTGTGTGATAACCACAAAATTCACTGGATATTCGACCCACTTAATTTTTTTTAGATTCGGACTCAATTTTAGTCAAACAATTAATTGTGGTTCTCCTGTCCACTAGTAAAATTAAATCCATGATCTTGAAATGATTTCGTTATCCACCAAATCATTGAACCATCATGGATACATCCCATATCTCATCATTATAACAAAGATGGATGATAGTTTTATTACATATAATAATAAGCCAATATGAGTTTTGACCAAATTACACATCTAAAACAAATGCAAAGGTATAAGAATAAAAATCACTACAAAAAAAATGGTCATTTCCAACGGGCAAATCCGTTGGAAATGACCAAATTTCCGTTGGAAATTAACGTTTCCAACGGATAAATCCGTTGGAATTTCGTCGTTAGAAAACGGTTCCCGTTGGAAAACCGTTGGAATTTTCAACGGAATTTCAACGAATTTTTCCGTTGGAATTTTCCAACGGATTTCCAACCGCAATCCGTTGGAATTTTCCAACGGATTTCCAACGGATTTATCGGTTGGAATTTTCCAACCGAATTTCCAACCGATATCCGTTGGAATTTTCCAACGGAATTTCCAACCGCAATCCGTTGGAACATTCCAACAAAAAATTCAAAATATATTCTCGATCCCGACCCCGGCCCCGACATCTATCCCGATACCGATCCCGATCCCGATCCCCCGGCCCAATTCCGACCCCGACATCTATCCCGATCCCGATCCCCCAGCCCCGACCCCGACCCCAACTCCGACATCTATCCCGAT